GCCCACTGGACGGAAATAATAATTTGTACGTAGTAGCATTGCACTAAATAATGTCACCCTAAGACATTGTTGATCGTTAAAAACCACTTCTCACCCATTCTGAGAGATTAATCAGGCATTGAGACAGTTTTAACAATGACACATTTGACATTTTATTTAGACCATCTATTCGAAGGCCAATTTTTTTTTGGTATTGTCCAAACGAAGGCTTGTAAACAGTCGTACCTTTAACAAAGACTTCGTTATTATCTAGAGTATTATTTTATTATTTATTAATTATATACATGAGAACTACCTATAAATTCTGACTAATTCACATCGATATAGTTCTTAAACAACGCGCACCATTCAAATTTTGAGCTTTGCGCCTGATACCACGTTCTGCTCACTAAATGGCAACAACTAGTCTCTGATGAGTACCATTGGTATTAAAATGATTATTTATTAGTGCATATCAGGGACCGCATGACTACTAAAACTCATTCATCCTGAATAAAAAGAACCCACAATAGGCCTAAACTCGTTTCCATTAACAGCAGTTCTCTTTACAATAAAATGCATAGCTAGGCACTAGCTGGCACTAATGCTGAGCTCCAGTTCATTCCTAGGTAAGCACAAGCTTGGCAACCTACATTGGCCCCGCCTGTTAACCTAGGTAGCCTACTTAAAATATCTAATTGGCATATTGACCACAGATGTATTGGCAGCGGAGTCAATAAAAAAAGGCATTTCAATTCACAAACAAGATCTTGATGTTTCTACATAATAAGATCTACATTCGAAATTTCCTGTAAGAAAATATTCACAAATATAAGTGAAAACATACAAAAGTTAAAAGAAGTAGCAGTCAACAATACTTGGAATGATTATTCACTTATGTATTTATTTCATCAACAGACATGAAACATAACTACAAGAATCCCAAAAATGGATGATAGTTTACCACTGCAACATAAGTAACTGAGACTAATTTAGAATTAAAGGGGGCAGTTTGACATTTGCATACATTTGAACATTTACCTATATATACGAAAAAAATGGAGAAATATACTTTTCCGCCCTCGAGTGGTTTTGGGAGGCTGGTACTTCCTCGGGCGAAAAAGCAGTTTTCCGATACTCGTTCGAAAAGTCTCCTTTACGAACCTCGTTACGTCCCTCGCCTTCGGCTCGGGCCGCAAACCTCTCGGTTCGCAAACAGAGACTTTTCAAACTCGTAGGAAAAGTACCATTAAAAAATTGACATTTACGCTAAAACACTTATTTTTCCGCCCTCGGGTGGTTTTGGGAGGCTGGTACTTCCTCGGGCAAAAAAGCAGTTTTCCAGAACTCGTTCGAAAAGTCTCTTTTACGAATCTCGTTATGTCTCTCGCCTTCGGCTCGGGCCGCAAACCTCTCGGTTCGCAAACAAAGACTTTTCAAACTCGTAGGAAAACTACCATTTCTTACCATGGGCCCAAAGTGCAACTGCCGCTTTGCGCCCTCGGGTCACACTTTGTGCCCTTGCAATTACTTTGGGCCCACGAGCAGAAAAGTTTTTTTGTGACCTCCGGGCATAAAGTACTTTTCTGCCCTAGGGCCCAAAGTGATTTACCGGGCGCAAAGTGTTCCCACGGGCGCAAGATTGCACTTTGCGCCCTCGGTAAGAAAAACTTCTTTCTTAATATGTGTAAGAAGTTATATTAAGCATAAATATAAAAAACTATACTATGCTAACTGCTCCTGTCATTGGTTTTGCGTTAATATTGCTACGCTGAGAACACTAAGTTTTTCTACGCTTTTAAGAACTTCTTCAATAGCTGCGATAAATTTAGTTCTATTTGCAACTGATTTAAGATTCAACATATCTAAGGAGATCACTCTAGACTTCCTTTGTTATACCCCTCCAGCCTTCAGGCAGCCGTTGAGATGGCCGTTGATAGCTTGTTCTTTCATAAGGAGTTTTTAGTAAGCTTCTAGTAGTCTTTATACTGCGTATGAAAGCAGGCATAACGTCATACTCCCATACACTGATTAGTTGTGGAGTGCTTTTGATACCTCTACATAGGTTTTTCCTCTTATTAGAATTATGAGAATGACTTTGGTTATTTTCTTTGTCTTTCACTGCTTGTTTACGTCATTTACTAATTTCTCTTTCTTCTTTTTTGAATGCCGAGTGCCACCGGCAAAATTCTTGATTGTACTTATTAACTTCTGGCTTAGAAGCACCTGCTGTGTGTTTTCTTTTTTCTTTTTTTACAATTAGTTTTTGTAAAACATTAAAGTCATTGTTGTTTCTGCTTTGTTTCTGCCACCACTTTAGCTTCTGACAACACAGTTGTCTCTACCCCTCTTCTTTAGAGACCATCTGGAAACACATCATGCCACTATCTTTGTCATTGTTATAACTATAACTTTTTTCTCCTCTATCAGAATTATGTGATCATTATTTTTATGGTCTCTACTACAATTATAATCAACTTCTTTCTAATTTTTTTTTTAACCCAATTTTTTTATGCTGGGCCGTAAACAGCCGCATGAGAAAATATGCGTTACAAAAAAACGTTGCCATCCATCCTGTGGCCCAAGCCCTCTTTTTAATCGTCTCTCTAACACACTCCCCCCCCCCCGGCTCTATCTCTCTATCTTTCGCATGCACGCTGTGCACTTTCTTTCTCTCACGCTGCTACTGAACACATTGCATGCCTTGGTCATTACATATATGTTGATAAGGTAAGCCTAAAAGGCCACAAATAATTTCACCGATAGAAAATAATTATTTAGACGCAAAAATGTAGGTTACTTGGATTCACACAAACAATCATAATAATTTTAAAAGTTAGAAGCCATATCTTAAAAGCAAAGCGCTGTTCTACATATTCTAGCTATAAATTATTTTATTTCCTACTCTCTATCGTGTATGATAAAAGTAATTGTTACGTGACCAAAACCTAAATTCTTATTATTAGTTTTGAGATCAGTTGAAAATAGTTATTAGCACGGATAAATTTTAACATTAATTCATAAATCGTTATAGAAAACGAATTAAACGACCAAATTGCAATTTCACAATGAAAAATAACTGTATGTCATCTGTTTTCCTGGATCTCTGTCAGATGGAGTAGATTATTTTGCATTTATGGTAGCCAAAACGAAAAAAAAATTTTATTTGTCGGATACAATGATTCCAAGAATAATACATTGTACATGTATATATAAAGTCATATCAAATGCACACATAGTAATTTTAAATGAAATTAATTTTTTCCCGTGTAACTGGACAAAAGTACCTGCAGTATAGTAAGAATCTTTTTCTCGTTCTGTATTACATGACCATCAATTCGTACATGTATCAATGCATATATTATAGCAAAAATACAAGTACTTAAAATGCACAAATCACGTGTAACATAAGTAGTGTGTACAAGTGTATGTATTGTATGCATGCGCATTCTTTAATACGTAAAAATAATAAAACTTTCCCTACTTAATACCAGATTTTAAAAGACTAATTAAACTTAAATGTAATCTAATTGTCACAGCTTCTGTTATACTGAGTTTATTACTGTTCGAATTGGAAGTTTCCCTTCTGCCAGGGGTTCCGAGACCCACACCTGTTTTCTATGGTGATTATTACTGTGAGCTGTAATGTTATTATTATTATGGTTATTGTTCTGGAAGTCATTATTATAATTAGTTATATTTTTATAAATGTATATTGTTTTTCTTAAAGTATTTGGCTTAAACGTGGCCTTAAGTTAAATTTTTCTACGTCAGACAATTTATTTCATCTTAGTTTACATATGTCCAGCCAAAAACAATTTAGTGCGGTATAATTCAATAGTACTAGGATTCAAACTTAAGTAACAAAAACTCATTCGAACCTAACAGAGGGTGTGCACAGAACTATAAAATAGATTGGAAGTTATGCAGCTCATTAAAATTATTTTATTATTATAAATAATTAATAACGTAATATGTTTATATTATGTTTGCAAATAAGTCTCTTAGATACGAGCATAACGTAGTAATCTGCTTTATGCCATAATTTGAGAAAGGGATAATGCACACTTATATTACAGGTTTATATTGCGTTTTTTATTAAAATATCCTTATGATATACAAAATCAGAAAATACTTAGTAGAGTTAGTGAATTCTTACTCATAAAAAAAGAATTTGTGAAGCATTTTATGGATAGTGTCAATAAGTGCGTAAGCCGTGATGCTCACCTAAGTATTTTACGACTTTACTTATCATTTTTTATTTACTGGTTCTATATTGCTGAAAAACTGACTTGCGAAAAAAGATGTTTATTAGCTCATTGTACCTATAGTTCTTTTTTTGTGTGACTCTTAATTTTTATTTTACAACGTAATTCTACGTAAGTTTTTGCTTTGAACCATTTGTTTGCAAGAAAGGTGAGTATTTATCTAACAAATCAAATGCTTTTTACAAATTTTCACTCTGCAATATTTTTTTATTGAAGCCTTAAATGTCCCCAACAAATTTAGAACCAAAAAAAAGGTGTAGTATGAAGTGCTAATATAATAATTTCCTAAGTCAAATGTAATAATTTATGATGTATTTTAACTTTTGAATTACAACGATGCTTTAGTAGTATGCACATTTGCTCTATTATGAGCTCAACTTTTTCTTGTTTAATATAGAACAAGTGTCTTGTTTAACCACTAAAAGCTGCTCCCTAAAAGCAAAAATACTATTGACTTACTGTATTCTTCAAAGTTACTTTTTTTTAATGAGATATTGAAATGTAAATGTAATAAAAATGAGCGATAATAACCAAAATTAGTTCTGGATTTAAAAATAAGATTGTTGAATACAGAAGACTATCAAATAAGAATGATAAAGATGTTAAAAATATCAAAGTAGCTTGATCCTTAGAAAAGAACTTTTTTTACTGCATAATTAGTTTTAAAACACCAATTTGTGTTCAGCACTAAGACATGACATATTTTTTAATCAACTACAAGAATGTATATTTAAGTACAAAATTTATTTTAAGGATCTAGATGGCGTGTTAAAAAGCTCACCTACAAAATAAGTCAGTATCCACGATTACTAGAAAAAACATTAGTTGATAAAGAAATAGCAAACGCATTTTCAGTATGGTCTGACTACACAGATTTGTCGTTTACAGCAAGAAAAACTGGTCAGGTAGTATAACCACTATTTTAAACACTATGATGCATAACGCTTTTTTAAAATTATTTTTGATCTCTCTTTTTATCAAGAAAAGCCTTTATATATTGATAAGCTGCTGTCAGTGTTGATAAAATAAAAATTTTATATTTCTTTTGTAATATATATTTAAATACGAAATAAAAATAATTGGTACTGTACAAACCATACCGTTTCTTTTAAGTTGAAAACAGCCATTTAATGAAGAATCGATCATATATTGATGTAAATTTAAAGTCTTCTTGAAGGAACGGTGAAAAATTTTCATTACATAGACGCTTGCATAAAAGGCATTTATTAGGAATTCTTAATAACATTGTTACACAAAGGACGAATCACCAGTACGTGATAAGCTGACATTAGACATAACGTATGAAAGTATACCTAGAATATTTTAGAAAATGAGATTTATAAAAAGTTGTATATATACATGTCGTAATATGCTTACATGTTACGTATTATGTTTCTTGAACTAAAGTACATCAGACAGACCCTATATCTAATATTTTAAGCAACTTAGACTCAATGTTACAAATATGTTAGTTATAAAAAAATGACAAGTAAAAGCAATATTCAAAAAGTTTTATCTTCTTTTTTTTAAATACATTTGTACTAAATATAGCTGTCAGGTTAAAAATCTTCAAAAAATGCCTTGGTAACTTATCACAAAATACTTTCTTTAAGTAAATTATTAAAATTTTTACAATAATGACGTTTAGTTTAAGTATTGTCCTAATGACAAACCGTTTTCTAATAATAATTATACTGTTGCTTGGATGCTATAAGAATCCATAATTCTACGAAAGATTAGTGAGTAATTACAATTAAGTTGCTTCGCACGCTGACCCCACGTTTTCAGTTTTAATTAGATTAGTAAGATAAAACAAAAGTATTTTTTTTTTTACCTTAACCATCTTTTATCAAAAAGTATTAAAGAATTCCATCAAATACATTAACGCGTTGAATTTTATGATGTAATATTAAAACATATTAATTTTTCTAATTTTAGCCATACTTTTGACAAATAAACGATTTGTTACAAGCTGATCTTCGTGCACTCTGCAAACCATCACCATCTATAAACAGTTGTTTAAAGTAAATTAAAAATACTGTATGAAAAGATTCAAACGTCATGTAGTTTGATATACCATTGAGACTTTTCACTTGGTTCACAACCTTTGTTTGGAAAAATCTTATTTATGATGAAATTTATTTTTATTCAGACAAAAACTGATAAATTATAAGAGACACAACTCAAAGTCATTATACAGTGAAGGTAAGAACCACACATTTCTAAAAATAACAGATACCTAAATAAAATTCTAATTGTTTTATCAAGGTAGGTGGTGAGTTAGCCCCTTTCCCTTCGATCATGAAGTTATCTCACAAAAAATTATTAGTTCATTCAGGGACTGTGGAGGGATTGTGGTGGGGGTCAGTATTTTATATTTACCCTATGATAAAGTATCTTTACAATACATTTAGAATTTTTGTAGGGTGGGACAATTATTGAATATGCACCAATCTTTAACATATTGCCGTTAAAACAGGAATATTTTAACAGTTTCCAAAAATATAAGTTTTCGTGGAGGAAAGTAACAAAGTTGTAGGGGGCCACTAAACTCACATGTAAAGGCTGTGTTGGAGTAGTTAGAGGCGTGGGGTGGCTTACACAAAGTGTGTTGAGTTGAATTCACAGAGAAACAAAAAGAATTTTCTTTTGCATAGTTAAATTTTAAGGGGTAAAAAAATATGCTAGTTTGGCTTTTCCCCTTCAGGCTCCGCGTGACAACTTCCTATTTTCAGTAGTGAAGACTGATTTAAAAATGGTGTAAGCTCATAATTTTATAATATTTTTTTCACTAAATCCTTTTACGAAAAGTAACCTGCTTCAAAATCGTGTCAAAAAAATAAGTAAAAACAAGACCAATGACTAAAAATAACGATGAAAGTAAGCAAAAACAGACAGATAAATATGTATAACTTACACATATACATTTATAGTAAATATATAGGTACAATGAACAAAAAAACGTTAATGCTATATGCCTTCATATTGTTCGCTGAACGGTTTTTTAGAAGATTTTGAACCACACTGATGAACGATGACTCCCATGATTGATATTTAAACATTAATTTATAAATTTGAAATTCTTAAACATATATGTGTGTCATGTTGCATACGTATGAATAAATAAATTTATGTCCTAACATATAAATAACTAAAACAACAAAAAGTAACTTTGCCTGTCTTTTTTTCAATTCTAAAAGATTTAATATGAATTGTAATGTTGCAAGCTGCAATGTATGTATGAGTCTATTGAACTACGAAAGACGTCAGTAGAGTACAAAAATAGAACAGTTATAGTACAGTAGGGTAGGATGTCTTTTAATCTTTAAAAAAGTCAATTCACAAAAAAACTACATTTTTATCCTTAATATTATGGTAGGCATTGAAAAACAGTAGAATAAGATGATCTTAGAAAAGGGTGTTTGACAGGGGGTGCAAAAACACCTATCACAATAAGTATATAATACAGAAAGATTTGAACATAAGAAAATTTAACATACTATAAGGATTTTCTATCTTCTCAACTACCTAAGTTAAGAAAGTATTTATTTGTTTCCAAATTTATTGGGATTCAGAGAGAAACTAATGAAACAGAAGGAGGACAATTTAGAATTATCAAACAGTGAAGAAAAGATACAAATGAATGAAAAAGTGACACGTTTTTCAGAAATATTGCTATTTCTTGATGAACGAAAGAGTTTTTCCCCTCTTGACCCTATCATATCAAAATTTGACAAAAGGTTTGCAGTCAATTTTAGGTTTTCAGGGGAGGAAAATCATTCAGGGTAAGTAAAATATATCGATCGTATGAATTAGTATCTTCACAATACATTCTGAGTTTTTGCATGGAGGAGGTTAGGGGACTGTGAGGTGGGCCAATTACCCTATAAATACCCTTCTAGAACATATTTTCGTGGAGGGGCTTAGCACATTTGTTGTTAGGTGAAAATCACGGAAGAGTGTAGAGAGTTTTTATATACTTTGCAGGTTGGTATGGTGGGTGTTAGAATATAGGATAATGTTAACGATTTCTAAAGAATATTCAACGTATCTGTCAGGAGGCAGTGGGGTGGGAAGAAGAGTCTATACAACTTACGAGGAAGCCCTAGGGATGTGTGGATCTGTCTTACCCACCCTCCTTGCCACATTTTTGGGCCCCCTAACATTTAAGTTTTCTCCCCTCTAACCCCCCTCTGCAATCTTTCCAAGTACCCTTATTGGACTTGTTAAAAGCAAATTATTTACCATAATTTATGACTATATGATAAAAATGCTGAAAAGTGTGCAGTCAAATTATTATAAGCATGATTAATTGACTTACATACTGCATATATGTTAATCCTAGAAATTTACATTAGTCTTCATAATTTTTTTACAATTCTTATAAATAATGATACATTTCATACGAAAGTATTATTTGTGACAAATACTCTTGTTTGAATATTGATGTATAAATCATGTAAAGTTTCTGCCGAAATTTGTCAATGTCCATCGTTTTGAATGATTGATCGTTCGTATAAAATGTAACAATAAAGTGAGCCTGGCAGGACTCTTTTTAATTATTTAGTTGTGTAATTGTACAAAATAATATATTCCAAAATATTTTGCTTCCTTTCATTATCCGATATATATTTTAGTTTTGTATGACATAATCTCAAAGTAATATTTGGAAAATCGTTAGGAGTGGTACCTTTAAAAAAATTTTTTAAAACTCTCTTTATTTTTTTCCATTTTGAGTTATATGTAACAGTAGTAAATCAATCAGATTTTCCGAATTTTTGTATTATTGCCATTGCATCCTAGAAACGGCTTTCTTACATACTTAACACCACTAATAAATGTCGAAGGTAACATAAATGTTTCCTTATTTATTATTTTTGTAATTTAAAAATTATTAATGCACTTCAGTGTATATGCTCTATGAGATCTTGGCAACATTTAATCCTAAAAATTTACTGATCATTATGAAAAGAAAACCAAAATCTATATTGGCATCTTGTTTGAAATGTTAGTATTTTTTTGTAGACGGATTTTGCTCCATTGTTTCGTTAGTATTTTAATATGTTGCTTGTATGACGTTGGGTTTTATCTTCAAAATTTGCTTATGACAGTGAGGTCATGATCATATATACAGTGAGAATAATTAGAATAATCATGAGTGTTCTTTATGACGGATTTAGGTGTCATGTGACAAACTTGGCTTTGACTTTGTCAATTATTTTGAAATCTTGTATTAACTTTTAAAAGTTTTTTTTCGCTTTTGAGATTAGCACTAAATGATGCAAAAGTAGAAAAATTATCGAAATATCAAATTAAATATGTAAAATTATCTTTTGTTAAAAATGTTTAGAATAATTCATCATCATTCAGACTCAAAGAAGGTAGGCTTTTTTTGTACGTATTTGTTTTTTTTTATTTGTTGCATTCTTATTTGAATCGGTTTTGTTCGTTGACATAGTTTTGGCTAGACTACTATTTTAAGATCTTATTTTACTATTGAAAACTCAATAAGTTTTTGGTTTCTTATTAGAGATTAAAACATTTTTATCATCGTGGAACCTTTTTTTCTATATCATAATAATTTTTTTTATAATTTTCTGTAGTTTTGCTTAATTCTGACATTATTATAAAGCTATTGTTCATCTCGCTATTATGCCTGCTGTCATCTTTGAAACTATAAGTAAAACTAAGATCTGCATATTTAACTGGTAAAGTAAAAAAAATTTTAACAGAACTTTGCAATCGAAGTTGAGTTTAAAAAATTTTATTTTTAATGCCTAATTAAAGGATACATTAAATGTTCATGTTTGGTTTATCAGATCTCAGATAGATCCAGTATGCGGATTAACCCGTAGATGTTTAAGTTATGTTATCTTATTCTTCACAATGAATTCTATGCCTAATG